TGCGGACACTATCAATGCTCCGAGATCGGACTTGAGAGCGCCAAAACGCCGACATCCTCATCGTCAAGTGTCCCTGAGCGTAAACGCCAATACATCACACGCTCAGATGTACCTGGAATCGCTGGGCCTGGTTCTAGATGAGTACGAGTGGATACTAATTTGCGGCAAGTGCGGGCACGCATTGAACGAAAACCCAGCCCAGCACCTGAAGCGCCACTGCGTAAACGTACAAGATGCAGACATCTCGCTTGCAATGGATCTCATCAAGGAGGCGACGCCTCGAAAGGAGCCTGTTCTCGACATGAACGGCTGCCGACCTGCGTACCCATGCATCCCAGTACAACGGGGCTACAGATGTCCTTGCTGTGCCTCTTGCTTTTCAACACTTGAAAGCCTGGAGCGACATGAACAATGCCATAAGGGCGATCCAGCCATCACGGAGACGCCACGAAAAGTCTGGATGCAGCGGCTCAGGAAAGGAGGATTGGGCTCGAGCTATGTGGAGGTCCAGTATTCGAAGCGATCCAAGAGACGCCGTGTGGACGCGCAATCCTTCCTATCTTTGCTCGAGGCTCAGAAAAAAAAGGACTTTGTCGTCAACTCGATACGACTCCATCCGGTTTATCAGATTCTGGGCCTTGGGGTGCTGCTTGACCGGTTGTCACTGAGCCAAGTCAGAGAGCTGGGTTGCAGCGAGGTCAACCCGACCCTACTCTCAGTCATGCACGGTCTTTTGGACAAGACGTACGAAAACATGTTGTGCTACACGACGGCTCGTGAGGTCCTTGGGAAACTGTACACCAAGTCGGGAGACGTGTTTACGGCCCGATATTATCAAAAAGTCATGCAGCACACCTACGATCGCTACATGATTGTGGCTACGCGCTACGTGCAGTACCTCCTACAAGTACGGCGCCAGGGCGACGAGGTTCCGGGTCGAATCAGTGACGAGCTGGCAAAAGCTTTGGACGACGTGGAAGTGGCCCAAGGTCAAAACAACCATGTCATGACGCTGTCCGAGGCGCTGACCAATGTATGGTGTGCCGTACTTGATGAAAGCACGGACATGAACAGCTTGGACCTGGAGTACTGTCCCACCGTCTATATCCTTTGTACGGCGCTGCAAGCCAACGACACCTTCAAGCAGCCAAACAACTGGACGCCAACGCTGGCAGCTCTGTTGTGGATCTGCCGCTTGTTCCTGCTCGTCCGTCGCCAGCTTGATCCAAGCAGCCCTGGCGCGCTGACGGAAGATGCTGCCGTCAAGACGCGGCTGACGGAGGGCCACATTGGCTACTATCTTGGTAGTAGATTGACATATGTTCGTAAATGTACCTCGGAGGAAGGCAAACCAGGTGTTGACGTGGTGTTTGAGACGCGGCCAGCCCCTGGACAGGAGTTTCGGACTCTGACAGCAAATGGCATTCGTATGAACGTGGATGACCTTGGGACCGGTTTGCGAGCTATGCGAGCCAGAATGGACGAAATTCTCACCAAGGAGCTACTTTTTAATTCGGGCCTCGAGAAGCGAGTTTATGCTGTCCTGCCCTTGTTGCTGGACTCGAATCAGCCCGGGCCCCCTCAGTCCTGGGTCAGCCGGGATTTGAAGGACATCGACGGTCATGACTTTTATACAATGTTGCTGGAGCACATCTTGGAAACTCCAGAGCTAGTCGAGGAGTTTACCATGCCTGATGCACCCGGCAAGTTTAGCATAGAACCAGTGTGGCGCTGGATCTGCTCCCTGCGAGAGTTTAATCGCCTGGCATTGACGTATGCACACCTCTCAACTGGTACGTCTGGTAGTCTGGGCGTACGAACATATTACTGTACACAACGCAGAGTTTCACCATACATCTGTGCATAGGTCTCCCCGTGCGTGCGATGGTATACACGAGCCTTTTCTATCGCGACTCCTCCGCCAGCCCCAGAAATGTCTTCTTCTCCGGAGACCGCTTGGCGTTTGTCGCGCGACGAGGCAAAACCAACCACATGGATCAGCAACCGCGAGTCGCATGCTGCACACTACATGGACAAGCGGGCCAGTGCGGTCATGATGGCGTACCTGCTATTGTGCAAGCCGCTGGAGGAGCTGTTTGCTAATTACTTGCAAGATCGAGACGAATTGATCACGTCTGAGGCAATAGATCCCAATTCCCTGACGGAAGAAGAGCAAGATGAGCTCGAGGCCGACGCGATGGAGGTCGAAGATTCAATCGAGCCAGACACTGTTGGCTCTGTTGACGACCAGCACGACGATCTACGAGCGGCCAAGCGTGTCGCACAGGAGGGCACGTATGAGCTGCTGTTCAACATTGCGCCAATGCAGCTCGAAAAACAGCTTCGGCCAGGCCAAGTCTACCGAACCATCCAGGCCGTGACCAAGCGGTTTCTTGGAACCAGCATCACTGTCAGCGCATGGCGGCACATGAGTGTGGCTTGGCTGCGTACACTGGTGTTGCATCATACGCCCGAGCCTTCATTGGGGGCGTTGAATGTGGCACACTCTCAAAGCCAGCATGCAGGCAGAACGGCACGCAACGTCTATGGCCGCACGCAGCTCGGTCACAAGTTTGTGTCCAGTGAAGCACAGTATGGCCACCAGTTTGTGTCTGAAGAATGGCACAAGCTCATGAAGCTGGTAGATGTAGAGAATCAGATCCAAGCTGAGGCCGTAGATGGACAGACCTGCGTGCAACAAGTGGTTCATAAACAGGTGGTCGTCCAGTCGTCTCGGGTCAGGAACGCCAGCACACAGGTGCAAGCGACCGTGGGCACGCAAACAGATCTCGAGGTTGAAGCCTGCCTTGATGCTGAGGACGACATTGACGATATAATTGCCGGGTTGGATCTAGACGAAGCCGAGGCAGCCGGATCGTCCATGCCAGTTGCCGTGCCGCGAGCCGTGGAAGAGGCTGCGTCGACGGCCTTGCAGCAAGAGCCAAGCCAGCACAATGACCAAACGCAGCAGGAAGAGTATGAGGATCAGCTTTGGCTTGCTCAATGTGTGCGGCAAGCGTGGAAGACAACATTTCGCGACTGGGATCAGTATCGATTGGCACAGGCTGTGACTCGGCACGAAGCCCAGGATGGCTGGCTGCTGGCCGTGGCCCCGACGGGCATGGGCAAGACGCTGTGTACACTCGCTCACCTCCAGCCACGCAAGGTCGTGGTGTGGGTAGTCCCGCTTCGTGAGCTTGCCAGAGACTTGTGCCGCCGCTTCGAGCAGGCAGACATTGTATCGCAGTCGGCTAAGAATGATGGCCGCGACATGCAAGTCAACGTTCAAGTGATTGTCATGACGGTCGACTTTTTGGTTGGCTATGGGATGAGGTGGGTGCAAACTCTCGTGCAGCAGAAGCGTCTGGCCATGCTGGTGATGGA